TATATCATCACAAGGTAAATGTAACATGGTAAGTCTTGAGAAGCGTGACTATTTATTTTTATTATTTTTATGACTTCAAGTGCAAAAATGACTCCCGACAGTCTTGGAATGGAACTAAGAAAGAAAATCATTGGCGAATCGTCAAGATTCGTCAAGAAGGATCCCTGGTCAAGATGCAAAAGCAATTAGAGCTGCCTGTATCGGACCAAACAATCAGACGACGTGCTGTTGAAGCCAGATTGTTTTCTTGACGCCCTGCAAAGAAACCGCTGGTTTCACTAAAGAACCAGAAGAAAAGACTTTTGTTTGCTACATTTTATATTGACTGGAATGTACAGAAATAGCGAACTGTCCTGTTCAATGATCAATCAAAGTTCAACATCATTAGGAGCGATGGCATTTGCCGTGTACGTCGACCGGCCGGAAAACGCCTCAATTTACGTTACTGCCATAAGACCGTAAAGCATGGTGGAGACAATGTAATGATCTGGGGGTAATTTTCTGCTAACGGTTTAGGTCCAATACATCGAATCGATAGAATAATGGACCGTTTCATGTATAAAAATATCCTGAAAGATGTTATGTTACCTCATGCTGAATGGAATATGCCAATAAAATGGGTTTTTCAGCAAGACAACGATCCGACACACACTTCAAAATTAGTCAAGCAGTGGTTTCAAGACAACCACCTACCGGTGATGGGTTGGCCGCCTCAATCTACGGATCTCAACCCTATCGAGAACCTGTGGGAGATTGTCAACCGTAGAATTAATCGTGAAGGTGTTCGTAATAAGGATCAACTGTTTGAACATATCCAAAAGGCCTGCGCAGCGATTCTACAAAGTCTCATTGATCACCTGATCGAATCTATGCCTCGAAGATGCAATGCTTTTATTGACAACAAAGGATTTGCCATGAAATATTGATAGCAAAATACAGCTTGATCAACATTTTGTGGAGTTGCAATTGTTTTGTCCAGAAACAAATCAACTTTTTTTAATACTTTTGATTATTTTATTAATTTTCGTGTACAAATAATAAACTTTGTGATAAATAAAATTTGAAGAACGTTGTCTCTAAACAGTTACATAGTTATTTCTCTAAATTGAAAAAATGTTGCATTTTATATAAAGAAACTAAATTAGCATTATTTGGTTGCACTTGTTTTGTTCGAAACTGTATATGTATATATGCAATTATAAATATTGTTTAGGGCCGTATTAAGGAGGAGGCTGAGGAAGTTATTGCCACAGGGCCACCACAAAATGAAGGCCCTCTGGAAAAAAATGTAAAACAATCATAAAATATAGGCCTAGAAAAAAATATATCGAAAATTAAAAAACCATAGAAAAAAAAAACGACAAATAAAAAAGCTCATCTTAAAAAATGTCAAGAAAGCAAAACGCCAAACTATTAACAATCAGATATTTAAACTCGCGGCCTCACATATTAAATGTTTAACTATCGAAAATCTAGATATTGCTCAGTGGGCCAGGATTTGGACCAAACCTCAAAATTGAAAGTTTACTATTTTAAAAACCATATAGTAAAACATTGTCGTAATACTCTATAGAGACAATATATTGTCTTATTAAAAAGCGAAATTTTTTTTTATTTTAATGGTTAACTTTAGTACATAGTAACTTTTAAAAATGCGTTTATGCGCAATTAGTTTTTGTATTCTAACTATTTAATAATTTAACTTAACAAAAATAATAAAAAATAAAGATTAACATTTATAACACATTTATAAACTGGTTTTATAATAACGAGTTAAGTTTATAACATTGAATACTTTTATTTTGTATAAAAAGTGTCAGAAAACAACCTCTGTATTGCATGACTGATTATTGTTATGCTGAGAAACGTGCTCTCGAAACTATTTTTATTGGTACATGTTTATAAAATAAGTTTAGTATTTATTTTACATGAAGCTAATTTATCTATACTAACATCCAATGCATCAACTTATTTTGACCCTATTTTTTGGAAGTAAGGTAAATACCTTATCTAAATTCCTATATATTATACCTATATATATATATATATATATATATATATATATATATATATATATATATATATATATATATATATATATATATATATATATATATATATATATATATATATATATATATATATATATATATATATATATATATATATATATATATATATATATATATATATATATATATATATATACCTATATATTATACCTTTTATCTTATTTATCTGTGACTTTCACAGAGATCATTCTTGGTACAGTTGGCAACAAAAGTTATCAATTTTTGTCAAATTTTAGGATGGTTTTACAAAAAGTTATTTGATTTCTTTATATTTAACTGAATAAACCAAAATTTAAGAAAAGCCTTTTTCAATTTAGAGGTGGGTTTGGTGGTACAGGTAAGACCGTCTTCTCATTAATTGCAATACAAACAATAGTGTAGAAAGACAGAATGAGTCTTTCAAATATTCTTATTTACAGCAACATAAGAACTCATCATTGACTGGAGTGTTAACTTTGCTGATTGACAACTTCTTCATTGATAAACTTGATAGGTATTATTTGTTAAAGTTTTATTAGGTCTGTATCAATTTTTAAAAACAATACACACCTAAATAAAAACGTAAATACTTGTGCATTTGCACAATATTTGGATCTTCCTAATACTATATTAAAGAACTTTGTTACTATGAATATTATTTCTTTTAGCTATACTTATTCTAAATTTAAAATGGATGCACGTTACAGAAAATATCCACGTTGGGTGCCAAGTTATCTTTACAATCGTCCTCATAGCTTTTATAAACTGTGCCTAATAAAAAAAATTAACGTTGAGAACCTTACAATGTCCAGAGTAATCATGATTAAACGTAGAGCTTTTTTCTGTATTAAGTTCTACAAGGCAGCTACTAAATAATTTTTATCATTTGGTGATGAAATTATAATGCCAAAATGTATTTGTCTGGATTGGATATTAATTGCATATCCATGCAAACATTTTTTTAAGTATTTAGAAAGTACCCTGCTTGGTCATGAAGTGTTTATCATCATTGTATCTAAATTCACTATAATTAAACTTAGATGCTGATGATTATGAAGCATCACACGAAAAACCATCATTTAGTTAGCCGGAAAGTTTAATTCTTGATAAATAAAAACTAGATGTCATTAAAGATTGGAATGAGAAATCTAAAAAAGTTACAAGTGTTTGTTCTGGGGTAAATGTTAGGGAAATGCTCACAACAATTCAAAACCTGTCATTTGAATTTGAGGAAAATTTATAAGAAATTGTTCTTATATATAACACTCTTGCTAGTCTAATTAAAAAATTTGAAAAAACATATATTAAAGAGTCAGGAGTCCTATTGATCGCGTTAATAATCACAAAGATATGATAATTGCATCTTCTAAAATATTTCTAGAGGAAAAAAAAACACAAAACCGAGGCGATTGAGGTCAACATTGTTGAAAATATTGATGGAGATAGTATAATTATTGATGAGCAGTTAGTTACTCTTATTAATAACGATGAATTCCCGATAAAAAGATTAAACTAATTATCACCTAACTGTAATCTCTCTTCCGATAATTTGAAAGATATTATAACAAACCAAATGTAGTCTGACATTGTTATTCACACTTTGCAAAAGATGATCACAGGTGTAGGCGGTCTCTAAGACCCAGTTCTTGAACAAAATCTATGGTTCAGTGTACAAAAAGCATCTTTTGTCCAGATGTTGCATGATGGCGATGCCCACTGGTTTGCCATTAGTATTTTTGGATGTTTCGTGTGATGCTTCATAATCATACTGAGGTTTTTCTTTTAAACAGTTTTTTTCGTGGAAAAGTGAAAAACCATGTTGTTTGGCAAATTTGTTTTATAACGCATTGCACTGAATATGCTTTAACTGTCACCGTTGTACCGGTGCAATAACAAACAAATTCTGTTGATTGTGGTTTGTATACATTAGCTTTTGTAAACCACATTACCTATACAAAATCAAATCCAAGTTTTATTGCTTTTGACGCTTTTCAAATGAGATATCATATGCTAGAATGTGTGAAAGGCAATCATTTTACTGAGTTTTCAAAGTCCGAAACAGCTATGCGGTTCTGCAAAGAAAAAGAATTCCATTTTTTCTTGCACTGCATTTGTAGACAAGTATGGTTAGCTTCGGATAGTTGTATTAAAGATAGGTTAATATTACTCATTGAATTGTATTGTGTTTGCGTAATTTCTTTTTGTCTAACTGAGAATTTTATTTAGACATAAGGTAGGATTCGGAATATGTAAAAATTAGTATTGTCGTGCTTGTGAACATATTCCTGATTATGTTTTCAAAGACGATTTTGCAGAGTGGTCATTTTCAAAATGCAACGTAATGTAATAAAACGTTTTTATTATTTTAGTTATTAATTAGTTTTGTAAAAGTTCTAATTTAAAAAATGATTTGTTAATAATACAAACAAATCAAACAGATATTATACTGACTCTATATTTGTATATCAATATGATATTAAAATGAAATCAAACAGTTATATCAATTTGAGCTCAAATTTGATATCATAATTTGAGAACCTTATGATATCAAAAGTCGATATCATCCTCTACTCACAAAGTGATGTTTTACTTTGAGAAGTTCACGATATCATGATTATATCAAAATGAAATCTCGCATTGATGTCACCCCGCCTTAAAATTTGATATCATATTTTGATATTCTCATGAAAAATAAATTGTCTTTTTTGTACTCAACCTTTTTATTCAAATATTACAACACCATTGTATATAAAAAATATTACAGCACCTTCACTTGTTATTATTATATATAATGAATGAAAATTTGACAAAAACAAAAACACAAAAAGAAATTATATGTTTATAATTATTGTAAGTTAAAAATGTGCAAAAAATAATTTTTTAAAATAGATTCAAAAGTGTTCTTTAAACAAAAACACAAATAGAAATTGTTTATTTAAAAATATTTTAAATTCATAACATATTAAAAATAATATTTAAAATATATTTAAAACTGTTCTTTAGCAAACTATACAATCTTTTCATCAGATTCAAGTTAATCAGAGATTCAAAATTTATCTTTGGTTTAGCAATAAAATCTAGGATTCTAAGTTTAGAATTTGTCTTTGCATTGAGTTTATAACTGATATTCAACATTTTGATTAGTTTTCTTGAAATATATATGGTTCCAATACCTTGTTTCTACGTCAGCACATTGTACCTACGAGTTGATTTTGTATTAATCAAATCAATGAACAGAGTTTAAACTGAAACACATAAGAATTGATATATATTTAATAAAACAGATTTATTATAGGAACTTAACACCTTTATTATTTATATATAATTATTTTTACGCTTGGTAAAAACAATGTTTTACGTGTATTACTAATATGCAATATTTTAATATACAATGTTTTACAAATGTAAATTAATATGGTAATAATTACCAAATTTTACCTTGATTTTTGCCAATTTTCAAGTAATTTTTCCCTGAGTTTGTGCAGTGAAAAGTATATATTTTTTCTGTCAACGTTGAAGAATACTTTGGTAACTAAATCCATATTCTCTAAATATATGGTTACTCTAGCAGTCCATGTTCCCTAAAGACATAGTTGTTATACAAAACCACTGCAGTTAGTAACTTTCAATATTAATAAAGATTAAAAAATTTAATATTGCAAAATAACTTATTAGTAATAATTACATTTTAGACACTATAAAAACACAAGTATTCACTAAATAAAAACAATTTGTAATTGTCAACTTAACAGATAAGAAAATAGAAAAATTAAATATATTAAAATTTTAATTAGTTACAAAAAATGGATACAAAGATGAACAAAAATTTAAAGTATTGACCCGTAAAATACGTTTAAGTTAAAGTCATGACCCGTAAAATACGGGTCTCGATAAATCTATTCCATACCGACCTTTTCTACACTTATTCCTTACTTCAATATATTTTAGTCAGAGGAAAAAAAAATAATTGAATACATATATAATAACAATACTTATTACTTACTTTTTAGAGATAGAAGATAAATTTTCTATTATATTTAACTTCAAAAACTTTTAACGTTTCGGTAGACGTTGCGCGTATTGCTACTTATCAACAATACGGATATCAGTACTAGCCTAAATAATATTTAGAACACCCTTGAAATTAAATACCATTGGTATAAAAAGTTTAAAAAACATGAGATGATTTAAATATGTGGAATAAATGACTTACCATAACCCGTATATTTATTACTGAATAATATATTACTGGTCATTCCATACCTACCATTTTAATAATATTGTTTTATTTCAATAATTTTTGAAAAGACCAAAATATAAAAATCTTTGGTTTGTGTTAACGATTAACTTTCAATACTTTACAACTTCTAAAAACTATATATATATATATATATATATATATATATATATATATATATATATATATATATATATATATATATATATATATATATATATATATATATATATATAATACTTATTATAGAAAAAAAAAAATAAATTCTGTACCGTTATATATATATATATATATATATATATATATATATATATATATATATATATATATATATATATATATATATATATATATATATATATATATATATATATATATATATATATATATATATATATATATATATATTTAGGCAATTATTCCATAGATCATCCAGGTTATTTTTTTTTGACAATGACTGTCTTATCACTAAGCCCCGTTTACAAAACATCCGTGTTTATTAACAAATATGAATAAAATATACAAAAAAACGTTAAAGAGTACATAACTTTTGTCAAATCGCGACGTTAGAATTATCTTGTGCTATCTCCAATTTTTGAAAAAATTGAGATTTTATTATTTTCCAATATTTTAGCATTGTGTTGTTCTACTTTAATTATATTGAAAAAAAAAATAAAACTTTTAACACGGTATTGCATGCAATATTGCATTGTTCTATCTCCTTAATAAGTAAACTTGAAAATATTATCTTGTTCTATCTCCAATCAACCAATCATATTACAATTACAAAGTTGTTCGGAATAATTTTATCAGTTTTGTTGTTTTCAAAATGGCAACTGCAAATATTGACTAAGAAATGGAACCTGGCCTAAATCAAAACGAAGGTAGTTTTTCAACTTAATTTGTATTATAATTTTGGAAAAGTAGAATTCGACTTTCGCTTGTGCCATTTTAGATTAAATTTATTATTTATTAAAGTTATTATTTATACATCCTGGATAATAAAAAATTAATATTTTAATCGTTAGAGCTGCTTGGCATTACACCTTCTCGTCGGTCGCCCTATGGTGGGGTTTCTAGGAAATGTAAAGCTGATAGGAGTAGTTGGAAACAAAGTGTAAGAAAAATCCAACGTCAGTCGGGTAAAGCTTATAAAAATACGAAAGGAGAACAAATGCCAAAAAGATCTATTCAATAGATCTTTTTGGCATTTGTTCTCCTTTCGTATTTTTATAAGCTTTACAACTTTTTAGTGCAACAATAGACTATTGTTGCACTAAAAAGTTGCAGAAATTGTAAATTTAAATGTTCTACCAATATATCTGAGATTGAGCGTCAAATAATATTTGATAACTTTTGGACCTTAGATGATGACGGAAAAAAACATTTCTATTCTAAAACTACTGAAAATCTGGAGAAAAAACGCTGTCGGACAGCTGCTGGTGACAATTCAAAAAGAAAAACATCTTATTATTATAGCTTTTTTGTTTCTAATACACAATATAGAGTTTGTAAATCATATTATCTTTCAACATTGAATATTAGCAGCCATAGAGTGTTTTACTTTCATAAGTTTAATAAATCTTTAACTACTGGAACACCATTGCAATCAAAATCAGGGAAACATGTTAAAAAAAGGTTGCTAGAAGAGTCTAAACAAGTTGTACGAGACCATATTAACCTTTTCCCAAGAATTGATGCTCATTATAGCAGGAAAAAAACACATAAAGAATACATGGAAGGATCACTAAATATAGGTAGAATGTATGATCTTTATAAAATATATTGTGATGAAAATGTCTCTCCTCCAGCAAAAGAACATATGTATCGTTATATCTTTAATCATGAGTTCAATATATATATATAATATAAAAACCGAAGAAAGATTTATGTGACACATGCTATGAGTATCGCAACATTGTTAATGCAAGCAATGAACAAACAGATAGTTATAATAAGCACTTAAAATCAAGGAATGATACCAAAACTGAACGTGAAAATGATCGCCAAAATGTTGATTCTAAAACTGCAATTGTTTGTATTGACCTTGAAAATGTTTTAAATTTGCCTAGAGCTAATGTGGGAAACTTTTATTACAAACGAAAACTTTCAAATTATAACTTAACTGGTCATTGCTCGCTTAAATGGAAGGGTTATTGCATCCTTTGGCACGAAGCCATGACTGGTCGTGGAGGAAATGATCTAGCCAGTGCTGTAACATGTTTGCTTTTGAAAATCATGGCTGACCTCGACATAAATAAGTTCATACTTTGGTTCGATTCATGTGTACCACAAAACTGCAATAGTTTCATGTCAGCAGCTTTGTGTGAATTTATAATACGATACCCACAAATAAAAGTAATTGAACAGAAGTTCTGCGAGCCAGGTCATTCCAGCATTTAAGAATGTGACAACATTCATAGTCAGATTGAAAAATCCCTCTCTGCTGCAGAAATATTTAGTCCACTTGGGCTAGAAAGAGCTATTAAAAATGTAAACCGTAAAAAACCTTTCTGTGTTTACCAAATGCAATTAGGAGATGTAAAGAATTTTTCAGTTGTCGTTGGTTTGTCAAGTTATAAGTTAGTGCCTTATTCAAAGGTTAAAAATCTTGTTTATCGAAACGGACTGCCATACCATGTTTTTTTTAAAACCTCGTTTTCAGATAATTATTCACAAGCTCGTATAAATAAGTCTGTCAAGAAAGCAGCATCAACCATTGTTGCAAAACCATTAAATACCAATATACCAATGGCAGCTTGCTTTCGTGCTTCTTATCAGTCTATATCTGTTGCAAAAGCCAATGATATCATTTCCATGTATTCATACATGCCTGCTGTTGATATTGCATTTTATAAAACAATAATAAATTGAACATTTACAAAACATTAATAAAGTCAAAATATTTTTAGGGTTGTTATATGTTTAGTATAAATATAAATAACATATTTATATATATATAATAATATAAATAATATACATATAAAAAACATATTTAAATAAAATATTTATTTAGTATAAATATAAATATAAAACACATTGAAATAATATTATTTTGAAATCTTGATAAAAATTTTTGTTTAGCTTGTGTTTTTTTTGTTTGTTTTTTTGTACTTTTATATTCATTTTCCCCTACTTGTTTGGTTTGGATGGTTTTCCATAGTGACATAAAGGCCACTATGAGCAATGTTTCACAACCTGATGCCCTTCCTGACGTTAACTTGAGTAACAATTTTTTATTTGTAAATATTTGCAATAACTTTTAATAAAAAGTTAAACTCTATTAATGGATACACAGGCATAAGAAAAATAAAATCAAGTTCATCTTGCATGTAGTTTGTGATTAGATTAGTTGAATTGTTGTAAACTATCAGATAGTTACATAATGTTATTTCTTTTATTATTACATTTTTTTTAACATAACTCTTTCCTATATACCTTTCATAATTTATTTTATACGTTTATATTATATTAATACGTTTATATTATTATTACGCAGCCAAATTTTCCGTTTGAAATTAGACGTCTTAGTCTTGTCCAGGGCCGGCGCCTACAGGTAATTAAAGTAAATGTAAGTCGTAAGAACAGTGTCGTTAGAGGCTCTTCTAAAAGTTCTCCTAATTAGGGCCTCATTTTATTAAAAAAAACTTAATTTTTTAGGTAATACAAAAAGCGTCTTATATTTTGAAAAGGGTCCCGTTAAATTAGGGGCCCATGCCCCTAATTTAGGGGCCCATGCCCATAAATTAGGAGTGTATGGTACTGCGTAAGAATAATTAGCAGGTAGAACAAAATTTTATCAATTTCTAACATGTCGTTGTTGAAAAATGTACTTAATATGTTTAATATATATGATGTAACAACAATATTTTTGAATTTTACTAAAAACCAAAGTTATTTTGTTCTATCTCCAAAAGAGGGTGCGAAAAAAAGGGCGTTAGCGTAATTTTAAAAAGTTTTTTTTATCTAAAAATTAATAATAAAACATTTTTAAATCTTAGGAAATACCTAAATTCTCAAAATATTTTTTCAATTTAGCTGCGAACAAATTCAAACTTTGACATCGATTTTCTCAGTTTGCAAAAACATGGAGATAGCACAAGATAATTCTAACGTCGCCAAATAATAAAATGGCAATTATATTAAAAATTTAAAAATAAAGAAAGTTTTGTATACTAATACAAATATATTTGATACATATAACAAAATATATTTAGTGCTAATGGAAGCGTTTTTCTATTTTAAAATTACCTTTTAAAAAAAGTATTTAAAGTCTATTGAATTAAAATTTAATTAAAGTAAGATTCTTTTAGAAACTGTTTTAAATTTTTCTAAAGAGTAGTGTTCTTTATTAAAGTTTTTAATAAAATTTTTCCATGAAAAAGGTCCTTGATATTGAATTCGATAAGAACTTATTTTTAAATTAATTCTCGGAACAATAAAGTTATCCTCTGAAAACTTTGTTGGATCCTTATGAGATATTTCGCTAAAATAAGATTGAAATATAAGTGAAAAATAAGATTGAAATATAAGTGAACATATTCCATGTTTCGTTTTAAACATGAAAAGTAAGGTTTGGTAAATGTTTAGTTTATAAATGTATAAGGCCTTGAGACGATTTTAATAGCGGTTCGCAATAAACAGTTCTGTTTGCCTCAAATACAATCCTACAAGCATGCTTTTGTTTACTATAAAGTTTTTTGAGTTTTCCGTAATTTGTACTTACCCATGCAATGTTGCAGTAAGAAAGATAGCTGTGATAAACTTTCATTAGAGCTTTTGGATTTAAAAATGGTTTTGTTTTATAAAAACAAAAATATTATTAAAGATTTTACTTTCAATATATTGGATGTAAAACTTCGATGACAAGATTTCATCAAGAATTACGCCTAAAAAGTTAACAGTAGATTCCCTTTTTA